TCGTTTCGAAACTAAATCATCCGCGATCGTTTTGTCTGTCTCACCTCACTCTTCTTGTCAGTCAGCTCGACTCACTTTCCTCACTGGAGAAATGAAATCTGATCTGTGATGCGACTGTCGTTCAGTACGCTGCATTGAGTAGCCGCGTTCAGTTTTTAATTGTATTGTCTGTTCTTTTACTGAACTAAATTATTTTTATTACTATAAAAAATCAAAACGACGGTGGGGGTCGGTGACGCGGTGGGCAAGTGACGTAACCGGTGTTGCGGCTTAACACCGGTATCACCGTCAACACAGTCTATCGCAGCAAGCCTACTTCATACATCGCTACACTATTGACCATAGAAGATTAATCTATTTGCCTGCAAAATTGTGCCAACATTTTGCTAATGTGATCCACCTAAACATAAAAAAAAGATAAATCTTGAGTTTAAGAAAAATTAAAACCAACTGAAACTATACTGAAATTGCAAACCAAAATACAGCAAAAAAAAAAAAAAAACTGCAATAACTTTGCTGGTGTTTACTCTCTGAACACATAATGTTAGGCAGCACAATACATTTGTGACCATATTGGTATGAGCTGAAATAAGTGATTCTTATTTTGTATAATGTCCATCAGACACAATTTAATATTTATGACACTGCTCTTGATTGGCAAACTTGATTCTGAAAGATCAGTTGCAGAATTCTGCCAGCAAATATGTTTTGTATAATGACCACTAAAGTATATAATTGACTTGTTGCCCCTGGCAGTCAATTTCCTACATGGCTGTGCTAGTTTGTGTGTCTCTCGTACCACTCTATTTTAGACTGACTCTTGTTTTCTGTATATTCTATATTTCAATGTATCCCTTTAAAAGTACAGATAAACTGGTGTAGTATTTTTTTTTATATCGACTATAACATGAATGTAATTATAAGCTTATTGGTTAAAGTGGAAATGAAGCAGTCAGTCAAGTTTACATTATTTAGTAAAGTGATTTCCAATTTGATTAAAAAATATATAACAAACATGATTAATGTAACCATTTTAAAGAAAAAAGGTTGTTTTGTTATAGCTTTTGGAGCAAGGGCGCCGCCATCTTGCAGTACCACCGCGTGTGACGTCACGGGGTTGGTTCGCTTCGATGGCCAGTGAAGTAATAGAAGCATTTCTTTACATTTTGAACACACGCTTGTTTTGAAATGGAGGAAGATTACATTGAAAGCACTGTTAAGTCCATAATAAGTGCAATTGCCTATGCATTTGAGCCAATACGGCGATGGGACTGAGCAGTATTAGGGGTTGAAGAAACCGCACCGGTAAAGTGCGGATCGGAAACAATACTCGTTTACGTGGATACTCCTCAAGACTGTCATTCCGATGTGCTTTGTGTGCATTTGCTGATGAAGGCGCGACAGAAAGCTCAATTTGGTAGCCTACTCACGTGCTGTCCGAGCCGAGCTGTGGCTTTGTGTGTGTGTGCAGCGCCGCCGGCGCGAACAGAAATGATCTATCACAACGCGCTAGCATTTAAATCTCTTTCAGAAAAGGTCTGTCACAGCGTGTAAATACCGCACTGAAATCTATTCCATGCTGTCTCACGCTTGAATGGCTTAAAACACTTTAATATTTAAACTGACAAGGCTTACATGAGAATGATAAACTATTTTTAATCAAAGTGGAAATCACTTTACTAAATAATGTTAACCTAACTGACTGCTTCACTTCCACTTTAAAATTTGTATTTCAGTGATTAAACATTGAATATAAGAGAAGCCTTTTGAAAGGAAGTGAAATGAATGAGGACAGAAAGAGAAAATGATCTTTTTCTGGAAAGGGTGGGGATTACCATATAATCTCAGTTTTATTACATGTTATTTATGGGTGAATGAGTCCTCAACAGGGAAATTTCACTTCATTAAACAACGATTATGATGTTATTCAATTTGGGCTCTCAGAATTAAGTTAAAGGGATAGTTCATCCAAAAATGAAAATCCTGTCATCATTTACTCACCCTCAAGTTGTTTCCACTCGGTATAATTCTAATTCTTCTGTTGAACACAAAAGAAGATATTTTGAAAAAAGAAAAAGGAAAAAAAAGTTGATGGTCCCCATTGAATTCCATAGTATTTTTTTTCCATACTATGGAAGTCAATAGGGACCATCAAATGTTTGGTTACCCATATTCTTCAAAATATCTTCTTTTGTGTTCAACATAAAAAAAACTCATACAAGTTTGGAATAACCTGAGGGTGAGTAAATGATGACAGAATTTTCATTTTTGGGTGAACTCTCCCTTTAAGTCACAAAACTGCTCCTTTCGAGTACTTGGAGAGAAAGAGTCTTGGGTCATGGCCATGTGATGAGCTGCAGTGTGTCTGTCCCTGCAGAGCTGGAGGGGAACGAGAGATGGCTTCAGGCTCTGCTACATGGATTACGTAGGTTTACACACTACATGCATACTCACTATTGGAGCGGACTCTAATCAAGCGTGTTGATTTCTGGGAGTGTGAATGATTCGCAGATGTATTTGCATGCCGCTACGCTCTCAGATTCCAGCTTACAGAGTGCTGATGAGCCTGATGATCTGTTAATGTGTGTGAGGAAGATTCTGAATAACTTCTATCTGTGTGTTTTCACACTGGAGATTGCTGCTTTTGATGCAGGGGTTATGATGATTTGAGCTTTGACATTTTCACCTTCGGCAAAAAAAAGATTGTCATAGAATGCTATCCAGTAATCATCTGTTTGACAGTCATCTTTGTATGGTTTTGTCCATGTGTGCAGATAAATCTCGGGCATTCTCTCCTCTTGCGGACGGTAAAAAGATTCCTGGGGCTGATGATATTCGGGCTTTAGGTCTAGGCCGACCAGTGATGTCACCGTACCAGCTCTCTCCCAGAGACATGGCCAAATTCAGCCATGAACAGCTGCTACACTACAATCCCTGTAAGACAATATAGCCCTGTTAATTAAGTCAAAAATAATATTATAATATTATTTATTAGGCATGCACTGGTACCGATACTGCTGTCCTGTACTTGTACTCATAAAAATCCAGACAAAGAAAAACGGACAGCAGAAGGGACTTATTAGAGATTAAGGATGTCTATGAAATATATGTATGTAATTAATTTAATGTTAAACATTCAATATTCATGCCTGTATAGCTGATAAGCAAAGCACACTGAGTGGATTGAGTGTGCGGTGGCACAGATGTACGAGCTTGTCGAGCAAGTATCTTTTTCTCACAGACATCACTGGAAAGTTTGTAGTTCAGTCGGATATGTCAAAAGCAAATAATTAAAACAATGCACAAGTTACTAAAGTTACCTAACGGTAAGTAGAGCGAGAGTGCGCACTTCTGTTGCATGCTCTTGATTGCTATTCGCTCACTCGTGCATCATTTGGATTAAAACTAAATCGTAAATATAAAACAAACAAAAAATATAGGGACATTCACTATAAACAACATTTATTTTAAACATCAAGCATACCTGACTTTATAAGTCGCAGCACGTTTCAGATGAAAAAAAACGCGACTTATATTTCAGAAAATATGTTCATCGCTGTTACATGATTTATGTATAATGAGTGGTTCGCCGTGTTATTACAGCAAAACGTCTTGTGATTACATTACTCTGTCGCTGCAATGGAGCAGCTCTAATGTGCTATTGAATTACAGATAAAATACCATAAAGCAGTGGTTCTCAATTCCAGTCCTCGCGTACCACCGTTCTGCACATTTTGTATTTATCTCTTATCACTTCAGACATTTGTTCTATTCGACCGTAAGTGCCCTGCGAAGTGGACATCACAGGATGTTCCGCCATGATTCCAGTTCGAAGGGAGCATATATGTTCCATTCAAAGGGCATTAAAGTGTGCGAGACATGAATTTAAATTGTATTTATTTATAGAGGTATATTATATCACTCTTCTCACTTCTCTAGTAAGTTTCGTCTGTGTGTGAAGACGCTTCAGACAGTAGTGTAGCGCAAATCCGTGAATGAATGTTCCGAAGTGAAGTAAACTTCAACAGATTTCCCGTGCTCAGGAAGTAGGGAGCAATGAACACTGTGTAGGGACCATGTCAGTCTGAACACAGTTCATTCATGGAGCTCTCTTCTAATGAGCTGGTTGTCTGAATCAGGTGTGTTAAATAAGAGAGACATGCAAAATATGCAGAGCGGTGGTACGCGAGGACTGGAATTGAGAACCGCTGCCATAAAGCAATAAAATGAACAGTGAAAATATAACAAAAGCTTGTACAATACATTTAAACAGGAATTTTTTTTTAAATAACTGTAGGAAATATCTGTTTGATAAATTAAGCCAGCTAACATGATTCGTTTTTTTTTATTTTTGGTTTCTGTACCCAATATTTAAAAAAATTACAAATGCTATGAAAATACAGGTATCGATACTCATTATCGGCAAGTACAAAAAAGTAACGGTATCGGACTCGTTCTGGAAAAATTGGTATCGTTGCATCCCTATTATTTATTATTATAAAATACAATATTTGTGTGTATGTGTAGTGTATATTAAAATAGAAAACTAACAGTTCATTTAAACTCTAATATTTCACACTATTACTGTTGTTACTGTATTTTTGATCAAATAAATGCAGGCTTGGTGAGCATAAAATATTTCTTAAAAAAAATAAATAAATAAAAGTCTTAATCATTTCAGAATTTTGCCCAGTAGTGTAAATAATACAATATATTTTTTAATCTCCCTCTTTCAGCATTGGCTCCTTCTCTACAGCCACAGGAGAGAATGGCTGCAGTGCGGCCTCTCCAAATCCCAGAACCCCCTCCTCTCATCTCCTCTGCCAAGCCTGGTGGTTCCATCACGCAGGTAAGAGCACCACATAATCTCTCACAGTACCAATGTTCTTTGGAAGTCGTATAACTGGGGCATATCAATATTATGTATAATACATTCGGAGTGGTTTAATGGTGTATTAATGTGAACATGCATAATTACACTGGTGTACATGTTTTTTTGTATTGCAGGGTACTCCAGTGCAATTGCACAACCTATCTCATGGCTCCGACCATGGAAAAATCCCAGCACCAGGATCCCTGGCTCTCTCCTGGATGGACCAGAGGAAAATGGGTGAGTTTGTGTCGTGATTGTGAGATCACACGTCAACTGTCCATTTTCCATATCCAACATCTCTTTCTCTCTCCTTAGGAGGGTTTCCAGTGGTTAAACAGGAGCAGTTATCTCCACGCGGGGCCGCCTCCTCTCAGGCTGAGAATCTCTCCTCACAGGACTGCGCTACGTCACGGGGTGAGTTTGGGAAAAATCATTATCCCTCATCTCAATTCAGTTCTAGTTCAAAGAGATTAAAATGCAGAAATAAGGCTCATATCGTGAATAGATTGAAAACGTTAACTCTCTCTCACAGGCCCCATGCCAGCTGTTCAGGGTGGCAGCATCACGAAGGGCATCCCTGGCACGCGTGTGCACCAAGAACCTTCCATGTCATATCGAGGAGGTTCTATCACGCAGGTGTGGTTAATCTATATTATGCAGCTTGTCTTCTCTCACTAGCATTGAGCTGGTGCATTGACTCTCATGCGTATGGAACACAAAGCATTTACAAGCTTGCCATCTGTCGTGTACAAAGGAAAATTCACAGTGAACTTGAACATATTTTTGGGTACAACTGTGACGTGATGTTCTCATTCTTGGAATCCATGAATTACAGTGAGCAGTCAGCTCATATAAAAGCCCCTTTAACAAGCGAATGGAACGGGCAGTTTGTGTCACAGCCATATCACGTCATATTATGACATAACTGGGTAATCAGTTGCCATAGCAACAGGTACACAGTGTCCAATCCTATTCTCTCCTTTTATTAATGCATTTACACGATTACACAGTCTGATGTTACCAATCACTCAGACACGCACGCAGTGTGCCAACTGACCTACTGTGACACACATTTACACGCTCAAGCAAATCAGAATGGGTTAGGGCGAGCGTTTAATCAGACCGAGGTCAATTCTGTGAGCAGAGATAAGCTCTGTGTTTAGCTGTGTGACACTGTTGGCAGATTTATTGAGAGATAAGGAGTCATTGTCAGTAAGAGTTCACCTGATACAGGTAGAGATATGGTCATAAGCAGCTGTATGACATGATGTTTTAACTAGTATATCTGAAGCTGAAACATTGTCCAGTTAAAGATCAAACTTTTAAAATTAATTTGTCCTGTTGCGATTTCTTGCAACAATTTGAACAGTTCTCTGCCTTTTTTGTAGCACAGATTCAACATAATCATATTCTTCATTACTGTAACCTTATAATATAGTTATGAAATACCAGTGACACAAAGTGCTTGCTGCTTTGAGTCCTCTTTTCTCACAATACAAGGGTCAAACCAGGTCAGACCCCAGGAAGTCTTACCCTCCTTGATGTACATTGTAGTCTTCCTAAAATTACGAAGGTAGTTTTAGTCTTCAAGTAGTTTGTGCAGCATGATTTAAGTATCGGATATATGTCACAAAAGGGAAGAAAAAATTAGCGTTCTGTTTTAAACCTTTCCTATCATTTTTTTTCAGGGCACTCCTGCAGATGTCTTGTACAAGGGCACAATAACCCGTCTGATTACTGAGGACAGCCCCAGCAGAGAGAGAAACAGAGAAGACACTCCTTCTAAGGGGCATGTAGTCTACGAGGGCATCAGTGGACACATCCTTTCCTTTGACCGTAAGTGTACACAAACATGTAAATGCTCAGAACCTAATAAAGGTAGAAATTGTCTCTTACTATTGTTTGTGTTTGAACACACAGGGGGTCCAAATTCTAAGGAAGAGGCTCGTGGGGACATGGCTGGGCTGAAGAGGACCTATGACATGATGGAGGTCGGCATTTCTCGTGTGCCACCCATCAGAGACTCAATATCTGCCACTGAAGGTGAGCATAAGACAACCTTCTTTAACAATCATGGACAATGGAGTTTCACCGTTTATCCTTTTTCCAGTTAACGTTCCTTCACCTGCCGTTTCTCTCTTTTGCAGGCTTGATTAGTCGAGCAATGCCTAACGAGCGCGATAGTCCTCATCTGCACCACATCCGTGGATCCATATCCCAAGGTCAACATTATCTCAGAAACTCAGCCTCAACTGATCACCTTTGGCTCATACGAGCTCTAACTCACATTTCCTTTGTCTTACTTCTCTTCTTTCTCTCCCAGGAATCCCACGGGATGACTGTCAGCGCCGGGAGGTTAAACAGATGAAAAGAGAGGGTTCACCATCACCCCGTGGCCCTGGTCATCCCACTGACACTCTTAAATCACGCTCTCACGAGAGTATGGTGACCACCGTCAAAGAGGGAGGACGCTCCATCCACCTGATCCCTCCTGAGGGGGTTGTGATAGGCAAGCCTAAGGAGGGCTCAATCACCCAGGTGACTGGCTTTGATTGATGTTTTCGTAACTTGGTGTGGTAGGATATCTGGCAAATAAATTTAAATATAGTAAAATCCTGAAAGTACTACACTTTTCTTCCCACGTTTATTTCATATTTAGGGTTAAAGAGAAGTTTTGCCTGAAACTGCTGAAAATAAGCAAGGGCTATAAATACTGAAATTCACAAAATTATGAGTACCTACGGTACTTTTTTGTACCTCTACACTCTTAAAAATAAAGGTGTCTGGCAGAACCAAAAACTCTTCCCAGAGGTTCTAAGAAGAACCACTCATGAAAAGGTTCTTTATAACCCCATTTCTTCTGGATCAAAATCCTTACATTTGTCATATTGTAAATTCTTTAATAGGTTGTTCATTAAATACATTAAAAAAATATAAAGAAAATCTAAAAGTAACAAGACTTGGTAAGATTAAAATGTTTATTGCCTTTACGGTATACATCAAACATCAATACCACACAACCTTGTCAAATTAACAGAATATTAACTAAATGTGTGTTCTATAGGGCACCCCTCTGAAACAAGAGCCTGTTGGCTCATCCAAGCGCCATGATGTGCGCTCCATCATCGCCAGCTCTCCTCGACCTTACTCTGGACTGTCCGCTCATCTAGAGCTTAGGCCCGAGCACAGAGGGTCTGACAGGGCCCGCTATGATGAGGTAGGGAGCAAATCCCGACCCAGCGCTGTGGTCAGCACCCCCAGCTCTCTGTCCCGTACCTCTCCATTGGCACTCATTGGAGAGCAAAGCAGCAGACCCCACCACAGTCCAGTGGGCTATGAAGATCACAAAAGATCCGGCTACCCTCCGCCCTCACACAGAGCCTCTCCACTGTCTGCAAGAGAAACCTCACAGCGTGCACATGAAGGTATCATGTTCTACCAATCACTGGCATTCAGTAGCTGGTGTGAGTTGTATGATGTTTAAATATTGTTCCATTGTGTGTGACTTAGGCTCTAGTAAGGCCCAGCAGCAGGAGAGAAAAGCCACTCCCACCCCTCGAGAGGTGAGCTCCACCAAGTCTCCACTGGCAGTTGGTGAGCACACTGCGTCTTTGGCTTACGAGAGGATCCTGCAGGGGCTTGGAACTGAGATGTTCCATGGCCAGATACCTCTATCATTTGACCCTGCAACTCTTCCCAGGGGAATCCCGATTGACCCAGGTATTTGCGGTTAAGCAGCACAATATTAGGGTAGAAATTTCCATGATTGTGGAAAACTTGGAAATATCAGGGAACGTGTGATTTCCAGACCAGTTACATTTTATAAAAGATTCAGCCTTGGTGAACAAAATAGACTTTAACAAACCAGCCCCAGACTTATAAGAGGGCATGTATTTGAAAATAAATGTATTATATCATGTATTATGTAATGCATTTCTTGCTTTGACTTTGTTTCTTGTCTCCACAACAGCGTATTACCTGCCCCGTCACCTGGCCCCTGCCCCTGGCTACCCTCACCACTACCCACCCTACCTGATTAGAGGTTTCCCTGAAACAGCAGCCCTGGAGAACAGACAAACGCTCTTCAACGACTACATTACCTCCCAGCAGATGCACCAGTGGCCAGCCGCTGCCATGGCTGCCCAGAGACCTGACCTGCTCAGAGGCCTAACGCCTCGAGAGCAGTCCCTTAACTTAGCCTACTCACCCACACCCAGAGGTGAGGGGTCCTTAAAGGGGCTTTTGTCCTTTACATTATTTTAGTCTTCTAAAGAAACGGAGCACAATTTAAGTCATTATTCACTGACAATTGCATGAGCGTAAACAATGGTATATATATTTTTTTTTTTGGAAAACTATTCCAAATGACCTGGTGGAAGCTGTCATGTAGCTTAATACAAAAATAGGCAATGATACCTAAATATGGGCAGTCATATTAAAAATTACATGTTATATACTTATGATCATCAGAGGCACATTCATTTTTACTGTCCATTTGCAGGAACATCTGCATCTCCCATGAATCGTATCACATACATCCCAGGAACCTCTCCAGCTTTCCCCAGCGGAGCCTACAACACCTCTCCCATCTCACCAGGTACAGAGCAACACACTCACTCAAACACACAACATGATGATTTAAAACTAATTTTCTGTATAAGCGCCATTCACTTCACTTTATAACTCTTATCTCTTAACAGTGGGAGCCTCTCACATGAGCAAGATCCAAGGCAGTTCGACATCCTCAGAGAGAGAAAGAGAACGGGAGAGGGAGAGAGAGAGAGAAAGAGAGCGGGATCGTGAGAGAGAGCGAGAGAGGGACAGGGAACGAGACCGAGAGAGAGAGCGTGAGAAAGATCGGGACAGAGAAAGAGACAAGACCCTCGGTCATGGTAACGTGGAACATGCCCCTATATGGAGACCAGGTGAGCTCCCTCACTGCCTTTTATTTTTAACATGAACAGCCACTTTATGAAACGTCTTTGTATCATCTTCATTGGGGGCTTTTCTCAGCAAATATTTATGGAATTAAATGTGCTTAATTTAGCTTGTTGACAGATTTTAATTTAATTAACTTGATAAATCATTAACTGTTTTACAGCTGTTATTTTAGTACCATTCATATAGTTTTATAGTATTTATTAATGTTTATTTGACTTATATTTTCAGTTTTGATTTTAATTTTAGTTTAGTTTTTTTTCTAGTTTATTTTAGTTGTTACAGTGGGTTTAGAAATGATCATATTTTCTTGACCTGGTAAGGACTCTAGCCGCTGCATTTTGGACTACCTGTAGCTTGTTTATTGAAGATGCAGGACAACCACCTAGCAGTGCATTGCAATAGTCCAGTCTAGAGGTCATGAATGCATGAACTAGCTTTTCTGCATCAGAAACAGGGGATATTTTCTATACCCACTGTATGTAGTTTTATCGTTTTTATTTCTATTTAGCTTTAATTTATTTTAATTTAATAATTCAGTTTTAGTTTTATTAATTTTAGTATTTCAACTTCAACATATATTTCAGTAGTTTTTCATCTGATATTTCTATATATTTTTATTTTATTTCAGCTTCATTTAAATTTTTAATACACTCATTTTACAGCTGTAGTTATAATTGAAATAATATCGAGTTGTTCTGTGTCAGTGTACTTTAGCAAATAGCAATATGCAGATCAGCATTGCTAAATGTCTGAATATTGTGTCCAAACAGGAGCACCAGAACAGATGGGTGGCAGCAGCAGCAGCAGTTCTCGTCCCCCATCTCATCCATACAGTCACCAGTCGTCTCCGCTCTCCCCCCGTCCCCAGGACTGCCTGCAGCAGAGACCCAGTGTTCTGCACAACACCAGCTCAAAGAGCCTGCCCAATTCTGAGCACAATAGTCCCTCTGTGCTGCGGTGAGTCTTCACTGCTCAATCTGCTGTCTGAGCAGTCCATTGAGGTAAACATGTTGAAGTTGTCTCTAATTTGTTTACCTTTCTTCAGGCCACCGGGCTCTGCTCGCTACCAGGGCTTTAGTGGGCACCTTCGGTCTGGTCTAGCCAATGAGGGTTACCCATCTGGTACAGACTCAAACGCTAAAGACTCGAGCAGAGATGGGGGCAAGAGCCATGGGCGTGGAGGTCTGCCCAAACATCAGGACCTTTCATTCTCTTCCAAGCCTGACCCCAAGCTGGCCAGCCCCGGTGCCGGTGGTTCATACCCCTCTCCTTACAGCCAGGCCTCTGGTGCCCACCTTGGTCTGCCCACAATTCGAGGGCACCCCTTGCTGGCTTCCGAAAGCAACAGCGGCAGCAGTTCCATCCCGTCTCGTGGTGGGGATGGCATCAGCAGTGCGTCAAGTAGGGAAAAGTCTCAAAACAAAGTGATGTCCATACAGGAACACGAACTTCGAGCACTCGGTAAGACCACCATGACAGCGGCCAACTTCATAAACGCGATAATCATGCATCAAATTTCTTGTGATGCGGCGATGCCAGAGACTGGTGCGCTCGCGACCAACGGCACCTGTGATGGTAAGACGCTCTGGGACCTGTGGGCTGTTAATGCCACCTTCCCTACCCTCCCCTCCTCTCCCCGTCCTCTACCAGTCCACCCAACACATTTCCATCCCTCCACCCTTCCTCTACCCCTCCTGCGTCCCTGCCCCATTCCCACCCCCTTTACGTCTGTGGCCTAGTGCACGCTTGTGGTGGTTGGCATTGATCAGAATCAACCCGGTTTCCATATTCTTTCGGTTTTGTAAAAAAAAATTTTCTTTGAATATGCTTCTACCTATTGCTTTTTAGCTTTTTTTGGCATCTGAAGCATTGCTTAAAGACCACCAAAGGTTTACCTCCCCTTCTGCATCACCTAAACCCATCTGACCGTTTGCCAAATCCAAATTTTGAGGGGAGATTCTGCACGTTTCAGTCCAAACTTCCACAAATGAATTTATTGAAGCTCATTAAATGATTTGAGCTTCTGCTCTGTAACGGCCACAGGCGTATATCTTAGTGAACTGGTAATTCACTGTACGCCCTAACGGTCCAGAATGACGTGTCTGGAGACAAGCTTTTCTAGACCAGAGAGAGATCCTGAGGTGAACTTTAAGAGCTCAGTCATTCCAGTCATGTGGTTGCTCATTGTTTCATAACGTCTTTATTGGCTTGCCTCTTGTGTTCCCCCTTTATCTTCTTCTACTTCTTTTTTTTTTCTTTTTAAATTTGGGGAACATTCCATAGCTCTTCGTGTTTGCTTCCCGTTTCATTTCCTTTTTGGGAGGGAGGGCACTCTGACAGTTTGATAGCTGCATGAAGCAAACAAATTATACAAGTTATAGAGAAAGAGGGTCAAGATGGATCTGGAGCTGAATGATTTTCAAGGTGTTTGGTTCCTAACGATTGTTGAATATCTGGATTCTTACGCCATCTTATTGAATCTACAGCCAAAAGACTGAAATCTCACTAGTATCAAACACATGAGTCTTGCTTTTAGTACACTACTGTTCAAAGGTTTGTGGTGAGTGAGATTGAGATGTGAGAAGTTATTTATAATGTTACCAAAGTTTTCTGTTTCAAATAAATTCAGTTCTTCTGAACTGTCTATTCATCAAGGAAAAAAATCACAGTTTCCATGAAATATTAAGCAGCACAAAACAGTGATAATAAGACATGTTTCTTGAGCAGCAAATCAGCATATTATAATGATTTCTGAAGGATCATGTGACACTAAAGACTGGAGTAATAGCTGCTGAAAATTAAGCTTTGTCATTACAGGAATAAATTACATTTATAAAAATGGTAACAGTTTACAATAAGGTCTCATTTAGTTTAATGCATTAGTTTACATGAACTAACTGTGAACAATATATTTATAGCATTTATAAATTTTTGTCAATTATTAAAAATACAATTGTTCATTGTTCATGTTAAGATACAACTTTTGATTTTAAAAATGTTAGCAAATGTAGAAATGTATAAGATTAATAAATGCTGTAGACGTGTTGTTCAAGTTAACACAACGTTAACAAATTAAACCTAATTTTAAAATGTTACCAAGAAATATTAAAATAGAAAGAAGATATTTTAAATTGTAATAATATTCCATAATGTAACAGTTTTACTGTATTTTTGATAACAATAAATGCCGCTACAGTGAGCATAAGAGACTTCTTTCAAAAAACATTGAAAAAGCCCAAACATTTGAAAGGTAGTGTAAATTGTTAGGACCATATTTATGAGGGAGGGCTTCTTCAAAAATACTAAAACAGTTGTCAAGTGTCTGAAACTATTATGTGGGATCAAAATCAATAATTCCTTGTGATTCACATCTCTACATTTGACCAATGTTGTTCTTGGATGTGCTTACAGTCTATTAAGATTTTTCAATCCATTTGAATTGAATCCATGAGTTGTCAGTGTAAATATTATTGCTTTTGTTTATATTATTTTTTTGTTTAATATGTAGTTTAAACCATTTATATGTGAGATGCTTTCTCAAAACTGCCAAAAGAATGAATACAATCATTAAGTGGAATCGGAATCATACAGTAGCCCTTAATCAGGTGTTACCACATTTGTCACTCATTATATACTTTTTTCTGTTGTAAAGATAAGAATGGGTAGTGTCAAAACAGTGGGAAAATCCAAATGTACAGCTGCAGAAAAAGGAAAATATCTTTGGCTCTTTGGCCTGGTAATAACACAGACATATCTACCTCTCCTATCTTCACAGCTCATTTTAAACACGCATTTTGCTTCTGTTTTATTGTTGTGTTTTTGTTCAAAGCATTTCTGCTAATCGGCACAGTGCTTACACTCTGCTACAGTCAGATGCCTCCATAATGTTGGCTTGATATCTGAACACACGTGTGAGCAAGTCATTGAGTACTGTAATCCCAGAGCCCGTATGTGACCGCACAGCTTACACACCCGTCTCTGCTCTTACCCTCAGAGTAATCCAGAGCCTTCTGCCACACCATACTCAAACGCACTTTCATGTCGTCTTCTCTTCCTGTCTATGTGTGCCTCCCTGTCCTCGCTGCAGCTCACCAAAAGGCACTAGAACAGCTGTACGGGTCTGAGGACAGACTTTCTCCAGGTCAGCAGCTGCCGTCTGCTGTCAAAGGCTCTCAGAGAGTGGTCACCCTCGCCCAGCACATCAGTGTAAGTGCCAAAAAATTAAACAAAAATGTCCCTGCACAATAAAACAATCTAAAAAAAATTTTATTTCCAGTGGGCAAATATTGCCCTTTTATGGAAAATTGATTTCAGACCCTGGTCAGAACCATCTGTTTTATAGTTTATGCAGTATCACTGAAAGAATAGTGTTGCTGTTCTGAATATAAATATGTGTACTTTTCACCTGCTTGCACATCACCAAATGGATGTCTTCTCTTTACAGGAGGTGATCACTAAAGACTACACACGACAGTCGCAGCAAGGCCATATAGGTGGTCAATCATCTCTACAGCCTGTGTTTGGGTATCACAACTCCCCTGTGCTGGATCTTACCCGTCCTTCCAGCGCCCCCCAAGCCCAGACCCCAACAGACCCCAACGCCCGCTACACCCCAGAAGGCACTGCTGCTGAGAGGGAGAGAGGGAGAGACAGGTCTCCTCCTCAGAGTAAGGCCTCTCCAGTGAGTCTGGCTGCCGATGGGATTGAACCTGTTTCACCACCAGGGGCCGTTTCAGAGCCGGAGATGCCAGGAGCCGCCTACCCTAATGAACAAGCAGAGCAGGGGTATATAACACACGAGCAGATGCACTTACACAATAGTGATGGGAGTCGGAATCATTGGAGCGAATCGGTTCTTTTGAACAATAAATTGTTCAAAACAACAATTCAGGGGTTCTCAGTCTGCACGGACTGATTCTATCCAATGGACTCTTTTCACATTTCCTTGGTTCACAGAGGTGCAAGTTGTCATAATTGGTTGAACTTTAGTGGTGGATAGAAAACTACAACAGATATAATTTTTGCATTTCCATTTGTTAATGTTATTAACTGTGGAAGCACATCATCACAGTCTGCGAAAAGGATCCATTCTTGAACAAATCAATACAACTATTTGACACAATAGAAGGATTCATTCATGAATTGGACAACACTAGCACACAGACAAATAAACAGTCTTTCATCCTACATTTTCATTACTCGTTCTCTGCTTTTGTGTCTCAGTATGGGATCTCGTTCTCCGGCCAGTAGCTCTCAACCACCAGCCTTCTTCAGTAAACTGACTGAGAGCAACTCCGCCATTGTCAAGAGCAAGAAGGAAATGATTAAGAAGATGGTGGTCGGCGCAGAGGCTGAATTTAGTGAGTTAATGGGACTGAATCTGTTGTACAATATATATATGTACAACAATATATGTTATTGTTGCTAGCTAAAGGGCTCAAACATATCTCTTCCGGTCTCTGTTTTAGACCAGGGCCAACCTGGGACAGAAATCTTTAATATGCCTGCCTCTACAAATGCAGGTGAGCATCTCCTCCAGTTGTGGTCTATTCTCTACAATAGCAGTTCATTTTATACTACTGTCCTGTGTCTCAAAGAAAGCTTGCCAAATAACACTTCACACACCTGTTTCTTTATCACAACCACTGTTACATCTCTTTTAGCACCCGTGAGCGTGCGCAGTCACCCAGCACCAGAGGCCAGTGGTAATACTATAGGTCTGGAGGCCATCATCAGGAAAGCCCTCATGGGCAAGTATGATGAACAGATGGATGATCGCTCACCGTCCAACTCTGTCAACTCGATGAGTGTTGGTGTGCCAGCTGCTGTCGGGCCGCCAGCTTCAGCGGATGGGCATTCTGAAGACCCCTACTCCCTGCCAGGTGCGGCAAATAAACCCTTGATAATTCAGCTACCTTCATGGCAGCAGGTGTCAGGTTTTGGGGCCATTTCTTTGACCAAATGTCCTCACAAAGATAGTAAATTATTAACAGCATGTGATAAATTGTTACATGATGTGCCTGTATTTAATGCACTTGTGGTTTCTTATCCTGCATTCTTTTATTTTAATTTTATTTATTTATTTATTTATTTTTTTTAAATTTTTTTTTTGAAGGGCATGTAGCACAAGCTGTTTGATTTGGCACTTGCCTTATTTTACTAGTTTTTACCAAGAAACAGGTGAATTTGTGCCAAAATATTGTTTAGTTCCTTTCATGTCTAGAACAAAATAAGCATGGTCTCTGCTGTCTATTAGTTATATATGCATAGTTTTTCCCTGTTGTCCATGACCCTATCAGAACAGACCTGCAAACCATTTTTGATACACGATCCACCAGTTGACAGTGATTTTGGAAACACGTTCAGGCATCTTAATATTTGTTTGTCCGAATATCTCTGATTTGTGTCCTGTGTTTGGATTCAGTCAAATCCAAAGGAGGGCACTCTAACGGTCGCAAGACTAAGTCTCCTGGTCTGTCTGGAGGAGAGAGACCTTCATCTGTGTCCTCTGTACACTCTGAGGGAGACTGTAACCGTCACACCCCACTCAGCAACAGAGTGTGGGAGGACAGACCCTCATCTACAGGTACACACACAAACACAATCACAGTACGGGTGAGAAACTTATTAAATATTAGCAACATCTGTCAACTAAAATAACTGAATCAATTTCAACTAATATTTCAAATCATTATAAAATACATTTTGAGAGAAATTAATTTCAGCAATGTTGCAATAATTTGATCAATAGTGACTTTTTATTCATCAAAGAATCCAAAAAAGAAACCCATCAGGGTTTTCTACAAAAATCTTAAGCAGCCCAACAGTTTTCAACAATGATAAAAATCTGAAATGTTTCTTGAGCATCAAATCAGCATATTAGAATAATTTGTGAAGGATCATGTAAATTCAGCTTTGCCATCATATGAATTAATTATATTTTAAAATACATTCAAATAGAAAAGTTATTTTAAATTGCAATAATATTTCACAATATTACTGTTTTTACTGTATTTCGATCAAATAAATGCAGCCTTGATGATCATACTTCTTTTAGAAACAATAAAAAATCATATCGAATGATACTGTGCATTTTATTTATCTATATTTTCTGATATTTTTTTCTGGTTTCTCCTCTCAGGCCCCACTCCATTCCCCTGTAATCCCCTGACCATGCAGATGCGTCTCCCCAGCGGGATGATGTCGGGACCCTCACCTTCCCCTACGCTGCAGGGCGCGTCTGCACCTCCACAGGGCCAGACTCAACCCCGCACCTGGGAGGAAGAACCCAAACCTCTGCTGTGCTCTCAATACGAGACCCTGTCAGACAGCGAGTGAACACACACCTCACACCGCATACACTAGGACTGAACGTTTGCTGCTTATGAACAAAAACTTGTTACTGTAAACAGGGATGTTCGTGAACACACACGTACTCATGTCCATACTGACATACACTTACAGGAACACACACGCCATCTGCGCTCGTGCCCTCTGATACCTCTAAACATATTCATACATACAGAGACACACATCCCATAACCCACCCCAAGCCCACACACTCACGCCATTAGTGGAAGTGCATTAAATGGCTGCAGACGCGTGTTGTGTCAGTGTGTTTGTGAATGCGCACACATGTATTAGAGTGTGCATCACTCCAGGACAACTTGTAGGATGAATCACTTTTTAGTTTTTTTTTTTATATGAATATATATAAATACTTCTATTTGTGTCGTCTTGCAGGCCTTATCAGAGTTGACTCATGGACTGAATCTGTTTTGTTGACGCGTTTTGGAGCATTCCTCATTAGACTGCTCAGGACACACCTTTATACTGTAATACAACTGCAAATAGTTTTTTTGTGTGTGTGTGGTGTAATGCAAAGGCTGGATGAATCCTCTGCAGAAATGAGCACCCACCCACACACACGCACGTACACGCCCTCATGTGCATCTGCAGTCCTTCATGATGTGTTGCCAAGATGACCCTGTTATTTTTTTTTTATGGATCTGATGCTGTTGGGCCTTCCGAGTATGTGTGTGATGAAACAAGACCTTCAGAGAAGCACGTTAGCCAATCCCTGCACTAAACTGTACTGGTTTTTAAGCAGATTTCATTTTATCCTGTAACATTCTGTCCTTACCTTGCTACTTCTGAGAGTTTACATGGACGGCCAAATCGTTGGTTTACAGGGTACACATAATGTTAATTTGTTGACATCAAACCTTCATTTTTTACTTTAGTTTTGACATTCAGAAGCATCTCTAGCTGACCAATAATACATTGTCTTTTCAGTCATCTCTGTGATAGTTGATGGGAGATGTTTTTAGTTTTAAACTTTTTTTATGTACATGATCCTTGATTGGAAGGTTTTTTTTTTTTGTGATGAGTTAAGCACTTAGTAGGCAAACGGTCCCTGTCTGTGTCCTTTAACGGACGCTGACCTGAATGCAACTTTTTACACAGCATTTATTTGTTTACTTTCTTATACAGTATTTTGTTGATTTGTTTCGTCACCTACCTAGTCAAGTGTTCCACTCTCTAGCGACAATCACTGGCAGAGAGTTGAGCGAGTGGACACGTCTTTAGGGGAAGCTGCTTTATCGGGTCTGAATGTCCCAGCAAACCTGATGTTTTTCACGTCATCTATTTGTTGAAGAGTTAAAGCCATGCTGTCTGGCCAGTCCTTTGACATGACACTCACTGAGAGCTGCTTTACTTTTGCTCTTTGTGCTTGAACGAAGGGTTCGGGATGTTTTTTTTCTTCCTGTGGGCGAATTTGAGGAGATGATGTATCCTGCGTAATAAAAAAAAGAGGTGAGCAGATGCCACACCTCATATAACCTGTAGTCCTTCACTCTGTACAGTTTTAAATATAATTCTAGTGTTAAGTGCCATGTATTTGACATATACATTTCTGAAGTTAAAACTACCAAGTGACTACGCACAATTGTTTGTTTTTTAAATTAGTTTCTTTTCTCCTTGCTATGTCAGGGTTGTACAATTTGTCACGCAGGCACAATTTAAAACCGTGAAGGAGACATTTACCGTGTCAGTCTCCTCTCCAAAATGCCTCTTTTTCGGACCACCTCAGCGGTGTGGTTACTAATTTTTTTTGCATGCATATTAGATATAATGAAATGTTTTAATTCATATTGTTTGACTTTTATTTGTCACATGGTTTTACTATGAAAGGTATCTTTAACAGTTCAAACTGCAATACTCAATGTAATCTCCAGACTTTGGGGATATTTTTGGAAGCTAATTAAAGGATGAAACTTAAAGTTCAGCAGTGGGTTTTATCCGGTTTGGGAGCTTTTGTTGTTGCTTTGGTGATCGAGGACAGAACAGTAGCTATACTTTTTTTTTTTTTTTTTGATTGTGCCATTGTTGTGATTTACATTGATTGTTCTGTTGTTGGTAGTATGTATTTATTTGTAATTTATAATGTTTTTAAATCCTGGTCCTGGAATACCTCAGCAAGCCGGCGGAGGCAGTGTGATGCTATAGTTTGGGCAATGTTCTGCTGGGAAACCTTGGGTCCTGCCATCCATGTGGATGTTACTTTGACACGTACCACCTACCTAAGCATTGTTGCAGACCATGAACACCCTTTCATGGAAACGGTATTCCCTGGTGGCTGTGGCCTCATTCAGCAGGATAATGCACCCTGCCACAAAGCAAAAATGGTTCAGGAATGGTTTGAGGAGCACAACAATGAGTTTGAGGTGTTGACTTGGCCTCCAAATTCCCCAGATCTCAATCCAATCGAGCATCTGTGGGATGTGCTGAACAAAATCTTGATCCATGGAGGCCCCACCTCGCAATTTACAGGACTTAAAGGATCTGCTGCGGACATCTTGGTGCCAGATACCACAGCACACCTTCAGGGGTCTAGTGGAGTCCATGCCTCGAGGGGTAAGGGCTGTTTTGGCAGCAAAAGGGGGACCAACACAATATTAGGAAGGTGGTCATAATATTATGCCTGATCGGTGTATATTTCACCATTTCATTGGCTGGACCTGCTTGCATTTTGTTCTGTTTGTGTACTGAATTTGTTTTTTTTTTGTTTTGTTTTAACAGTCATAGCTGTGTAAATCGGGGAGAAAAAAGTGGATGGGACCAATCAGACCGAGCACCACAACACTCATGTAGCCAATCAGCAATAGGGGGCGTTTACGCTCGTATAGGGAGGAGAGAGAGTGGGGGATTTCTAGAAAGAGATGGTTGAGACTTTACCTGGCTGAGAGGAAAAGGTCAGAGAAGTCCGCCTAAACTCCCTCAGACCCAGTCAATTTGCAACTAGATGGATGTACAGTTACTTCCTCTACAGTCGATGGAGTTTTGGTTCCTTGCCGCTGTCGCCTCTGGCTTGCTTAGTTGGGTACACTTCATTTCCAGCGATATCGTTGACTTGATTGCACATATACTATTTAAACTGAACTGAGCTGAATGAAGACATCACTGATTCAATGATGAACTGTCTTTAACTGGAAAATTAGTGTTTACTATTGTCATTTTGCATTATTGACACACTATTTTCCTAATTAATGCTGTTCAGTTGCTTTGACACAATCTGTATTGTTAAAAGCGCTATATAAATAAAGGTGACTTGACTTGACTTGACCCAGTCGCAAGCTTACAATCATGACACCACATCCCGTTTTCATACACGAAAATTAACCATGGTTTTTGGCGTATTGATTACCATTTGTAACCACAGTTAAATTATGGTTAGCGTAGGAAAGCATGGTTAATTTGTGGTTACCATGGTTTAACTATAGTAACCATGTTTTTTTGTTTTATTTGTAGTCAAATTTGTAATTAAACCAAAAAGCATGGTTAATTTTCGTAAGCAGTTCTAGCATCAAATAACTAATAAAAAGAAAACATTAGAAAAACTTGAAAATACATCAGCGTGATAAGAACTAAAATGATGGGGAAAAAACATCTTTGGGAAAATTTTATTTTAAGTTATTAACTTGACCGCAAATCATTGAACAGTTGAAAGATTATGGAAATTCATTTGTCGAAATGTGTAGGAATTGCGTCCACGTTTAACCTACAGTCAGTGGATTACTAGCAGCACCAGCAATTTAAAAAAAATAATAAAAAAAAACTTTGGTGTGCGGCGAGGTTGACGCGTCTCTTCAATGCATTATATTTGTAGCCATCAGGACGCGTGCTGAGCTCTAGAGGGCGCTGCTGACCTTCACATGACCTCAGGCTACAGTCCGGTTGCAGTTCTTTGTTTGCTGCAGCTATTGATTTATGACAAAAGACATTTAACAGACAACTTGTTTTTATGCAGCTGAAAGAATGAAAAGCAGCTTAAGAGGAATTATTTTGAACATTCTTAAGTTTGGGGCAGAAAAAACCCCTTTAAACGTCACATAGAGAGACCCATAGGACACAAAAACATCTTTTCAAATATATTACTAAATGCATTTCAAAATATACAACAAAAAAAAAGGCCAAAAAATGTATTCGCTAAAACATATAGGTTTACGGAAATTTATTTTCTAAAAGATTTTAATATTATATCAAAAAATTGGCCATTTTTTTTGCATAATTCTGAAAATATATTTTAAATATTCAAAATATTTCCAATATATTTTAAATATTTTTATATTTTGCTCTCCATATTTCAATCCAAGAAAATACGTTCACATATGTCGCAAAAGTTACAAATCTTTGTTGTCTATACATGTAATCGTAACACATTTGCATAAAAATTCAAATTAGAATATTACAATATTTCATGTTTAAATTAAATATTATTTCACATTTAATATGTAAAATTACAATTTTTGTGACGAATTCATGTAAATCGGGACACAATTTGCCACTGAGTTGACTGGAAAAAATGGCCCATTATCCTGAATGAACCCCTAGTAAAGCCTCATATTTGTTAAACACTATTTGAAGTTTCCTTGCATTATGATGATACTCAGAGAGGTTGCCAGAAATTGTGTGCTCAATGAAAAGTAAGCAATATAAGTAATTAAAATCATTGTGAATCATTATAATCCACAGATCCATATGATTAACTGCATAGGAAGGCAAATATTAGCCTTGGGCCTTGTAAGCACATCACATTTTGATTGGCTGACTGTTCTTCTAGGTGCTAATGGGAAATGTGTCTGTTTTAGGAGCCTACTAGGTATGTTTTGTTTATGTGCCTTACTGTTCACAGAAGAGCGAAAACATTCAACATTTTATATTTAATAGCAATAAAGTGGGCAAACAATTTAAGTGGAAACACTTAGTTTAAGCACAGTCTCCATCCTGTAAAGCAAATTCTTGAGTACCAGTTCTTTTAAGACTCAGTCAAGACGATTCGCCAAATGTTTGCGAATCATTAAACTGGAAAACGTTGTTTGAAAGTGAAACTGTAAGGCGTGGGGAAAAGTAGGCAACATAAGCTTTTGCTAAAGCAGGTAGGGAAACATACATGAATATACAAACTAATATACAATTTATACATTTCAAAATATATACACTTCATAAATACAGTGATATCAGCACACAGCTTTTGTGACTCTGTAAAATAAACATATTGCATTTACTGTATTAAACCTGATCTAGCCTAAAGCAAGCTTGAACGTATGGATTAAAATGATATACGCTCCAAAAAGCATCTTTATAAGAGAATGGTGGAAGGGTTTTTCATCTTAAGCTGGAAAGTATTTAACCTTGTTGGAAAATGCTGTGTAAGTGATAATGTGAATGGAAATCAGAGACCCAAGAAGACAAACATACAGCCGTTTTAGGGTTTGGGGCTTTTATTTAATCAGTTTGGATATACTTTTTTTTTTCCCTTAAATTATTTTCTCATCTGTTGTCCAAAAAGAAGACCATTAGGCTGGGAATTATACAAAAATATAAAGAGAATTACGAGTGCTGTATGCCACATATACAACAGGAAAGTATTTTACAGAAACACGAATCATCGTGTTAGGAAATCAAACAAAAATCCATCTGGTAGCAGAAAGCATTTGTACACCAAACAAATGTAATCATAAAATTTCATACGTGTGAAAAAAATAAAACATCTCCCCTCAGATCTGCTTTCAACACATTACTAAAATTCCTCTAGCAACTTATCAAATGCCCATCTTGAGTGAACAGGAAGTGATTTATTAGCCATGCCTTCCTGTAATTTCATCTATCAACCCCTGATGATTTTTGTGTCAGTGTCATTGAATATACATGCACTAGTTTCCTGTATTACATTAGCTGAACTAACATCCACTTACCAGACGGAAACATACTTTGTCATCGTTTTTCTTACAATAATAGATCTCTATAATATAAAATCAGAATTAAAAAAAAAAAT